ATTTACGTAACTACATTTATATGGCGCTGTGCGTATGTTTTTAACCGTGATTTGGCCTCATCTAGCTATGTTCGAGGATTTTGATTGAATGAATGTCTATATTACATTATTTTTACAGAAGATAATTTTTTTATTATTATTATTATAATTGGAGGGTATCAATATAGTTTTATCACCTGGTTGGGTTCTATAAATATGTAATTATAAATGAAAATGAAAAGATAAATATACATAAATATCAATAATATAAAATAAATATAAAAATACATATATAAATAAAAGCCCAACCAGATGGAGGCCCTCGGCAGGGGAGACCAAACGGCCGAGGGTTAGGGGGAAAGGGTAAGAAACCGCCGGACGATGCGGGCGGTATCGAGGAGCACCGCCTTCTGCATTTGAGCCTGGAGCGGTCCGCCACGTAGTCCCAGCCGCCTCAGATGATCCGAGAGGCTGACTGGGATTAGCCCATTCGCAGAGACGACTACAGGAATAATTTGGTCCAACCACCCCAGTCACCTCGTGAGCCAGGTCCAGATATTTTGTTTGCTTATCTGTTTCGGCTTTCACGAGGTTCTCGTCATACGGAATGGTAATGTCGACCAAAAATATCCTTGACTGTGTCCGGTCCATCAGCACAATATCAGGCTTATTCGCAAGAATAGTCCTGTCTGTGATGATGGCCCGATCCCAGTAGAGCCTGGCGCGATCATTTTCGAGCACGGCTTCCGGCAAGTACTTGTAATACGACAATTTCCGATCCACGAGACCGTATTTCAGAGCGAGCTCCTGGTGTAGAATTCTGGCTACTAGGTTGTGCCTGTGCAAGTACTCAGAGTTAAAAAGCGCCGAACAACCGGAGATGACATGCCTAAGTGACTCCACGGGATTGCGACAAGCTCGACAGATGTCGACGGTGCCATCCTTTAGGATGTATCTCCGATAGTTGTTGGTCTGAATAACCTGATCCTGTATTGCACAGACAAAACCCTCGGTTTCCCCGAAGAGGTCACCAAAGCGTAGCCAGTGGAGGCTACTGTGTCTACGAAAGGCTCATTTAGAGCCTTGTAGAACCTCCCGTGGAGCTCCTTCTCCTTCCATACGGTCTCCCGGTCGGAAATGCTCTGCACTGCCGGGTATTACCATATGCTCGTTGGCTAAGGATAGAGGGGTAAGTCCTTTATCACAAGAAATAACATCCTTATAGAATGGATCATCCGATCTCGCCAGAAAGTAATCACGGAGGCTGCACACTTCGCGATTATGCATGGTGAGCGCGCTCAAGAAGCCACGCCCACCATGCTTTCGCGGCAAGTACAGCCTCATTACCGACGATCTCAGATGATGCATCCTATGGGACGTCATGGTAGTGCGGACTTTTCTATCTAGGGCGTTAAGTTCAGTCTGAGTCCACCTGAGTATGCCAAAGGTATACATGAGGACAGGCATGACCCAGCCGTTATATGCGTGTGCCTTATTCACACCGGAGAAAAGGCTGTTAAGCACTTAGGTCAAGCGTGCATAAAGCGTGCATATTATTATTATTTTTATTGTTTTATTGATATATAATAAAAACTATTTAATAATTTTTATGGTATATGCTAGTTTGTAAATAAAACTATACAAAAATATACGACTTAAACTATCAAAATAAATAAATAGCTGATTTTATTTTTATTATTTACTAGTGATCCGCTCCAGGTTTGCACGGGGTGATATCTGGATCTCAACAACGGCGCCGAGTTCAATTGTGAATCTAAACCATCCAGGGAGCCATTCACACATATAATTTTTTTTAATAAAATCGGTCCAGCCATTTTCAAGTGATGATCTTTCATACATGCCTTCGATCAACAATACCAACTAGATGTCGGGTCGGCGCTTTGTTATAATTTAAGGTTGATTTCACATTAAATTTTATTTAATTTATGTCTTCATAGTTTATATTCATGCCGACAGTATTTAGCTATGATTTTGTACGTGACCCGTTATCTAGTTGGTATTGTTGATCGAAGATACATACGGCCATTAATTTTTATTTATATAGATGTTTCAATTTCTTTTTGTAGTTCTGTTTTCTACATGACATGGCTCTTCGCGGCCATATCGGTCGTAGTCGTCATTTAAAGTTATCAGCGGGTGATGCAGTCTGACTCACGGTGACTCACTCATCATCGCTCTCTATTACATTGTTAAGTTCATGCTTCTAAATAAGGACCACATAGGAGGTTTAGTCTAGTCAATCTGAGGCATTGGTGGTCCACCACGATCATGTGGTACCACATATTTCTATAGCGTACTTGTCGTAATACGTATGTCCGAAGAAGTTATGAATTTGCTAGTCGATAAATGCTACGTATGACTACTTGTACATGGGTTATTGTAAACATACTGACTCATTATTAAACCGACGCTTATCTTCAACTCGTTTGAGTAACGATAACGTGTGTTTTGATTACGTACTGTCAGCTAAATAGTAAGTTTTCTAACCCCGAAAATAGGTATATGTTAAAACAACATTGTCTTTCGAGTTTATCGGTCACATTTTTATAATAACTCTGATACCTATTTAATGTTACAAAAAGTAGTTCTAGGAATAGTGATAAAGATTACACTGCAATCGCAGTCCTCAACATCTAAATGTCATCGAAATCATGTCGGTGGTACCTGAAACACCCAAGTCCTAGTCTTGGTAATAACAATATTTAGTGCTGGAAAAAAAGTATTACATATTTTGAACCCGAAATGGTATTAACAAATCTTGCATATTCTGTCTGTATCTCATTTATGAAGGGATTCAGACGGCGGTATTTTGATAAATATTTTACTCTTTCTCCTATTATCCCTATAATACTTAACCCCCCCCCCCTCTCCTCCCCTTTGGGATAATTTACGGAGGAAGTCTTTGTTAAGCAGTGGAGTTTTGATAGGCTACAATAAATTGATAAAAAAACAAGTACACTTAAAATGTAAATAATTAAAATACCTACACACACAGACAGAAGCATATTTATATAAAAATCGATATATACGATGAACCGTCGAACGCTAAATCAACGTTGTTAAATTAAAAAATGAAATTAAAGTTGACCAACCTAGCAAAGTATTTACGTGTACAATTTATTTTTCTATAATATTTTTCCAAACAACGTATGAAAATGTATCAGCAGCAAAATAACACTAATGACAGGTGTAAATTTTATGGAAGTATTCAAAGCTTATCGGAATTTTTAAGAAAATGCCTTTTTGTTTTCAAACAACCTACATGTAGATCAATGCCATCTGGCAACTTATTATATTTTATGTTTCTAGCTTAACAATCAAAGTAGCAGCCGTAATCAGGTCAAACCACATGACTCATAATTCACGATTTACGCTATCACTTGAGAACGAAGTAATGTTCTTTTTATTATAGAATAAGGTGACAAACGAGCACACAGTACACCTGATAGGAAGTGAATGCTGTGGTTCACAGACATCTACATTTATCCTTAATTAAAATCAAAATGCAGTTTCGTTGTCATAACTGTTGACTTAGATGGAATGCGTCATTTCCACTAAAAAGGGTATCACGTTCTCTACACTCACCTTACTAAACACAACAGCATTAAGCTACTATTTTACGCTAGTATTCTGTGAGAGCGTGGTCCTTCGTGACCCATTCGTGCTACAATCATAATATAGCTACAGCGTGGCTTTACCACGTATTGTATTCCGTTAACCTGGAATAAAAAAAAACTAGGTTCTTAATTCGACTGTATTGCTTTTGTGTGCTCGAGATATCTTCGTCAAACATCTCTACCCCTAAGTGTAGAAAAATAGGTGATGAAATTTGTAATGTAAATAAGCGTAGTAACTATAATGTAGATGTTACCTTGAGCTTGTCGTATTCCTTACGCCACTCAAAAGGGTCATAAGTTAACTTTTAATACAAAGTAAAAGCTTCTAAAGCGTATGCTAATAGCACACTTCGTATACTGGAACACAAAACTTATATTGTTGTTTAGTTTAATGGTTAAGTAGTTTAAGTATAGCGAAAATAAGTTAAGAGTGGCACCTAACGGCAACCAGACGGACTCTGAGGCAGAAAAGGAACGTTGCCGTTTTCGTACCACGTTGATGAACTCCGACCTAGGCGCCTGCACTCTAGATAGCTACTTTAGAATCTGGTACTTTAACGCCTGAATTTATAACTGAAATATGTATGTCTGATGTTCTTTGTTATATTGTGTACTTATAAATATGTGCTGAATGTAAAGTATGTACTCTGTTAGTAAATAAGAGATTAAGTAATTAATAAGTTTATTTGTTAGTATTTATATCCTATTTAATAATTTTGTTGTACCAGGGCGTCATAATCGATTCAGCGATAAAGCCCTTTTTCTAAGAATAAAAAAAGTATGTACTCGCTATGATACATCATATATTATTATTAAAAAAGTTATAACATTGCATGCAATTATGACATTAACTGTGTTTAATGAAACAGTTAAAAAAATTGTGGGCGCGTTTTACTTTTCAGTGTTCCGTGCCAAAATAAGCAAAAACATTTACGAAAAATCACCACGATTTCTGTCTGTCACATACTTTTTTAGATATTCATAAATGTGTATAAATTTAAAGAGCACACCACTGAGGCATTGTTTTATGTACTAGTATAACAATCTAGAAACTGATAAACTTTTATATAAAACTAACTCCTGAATTAAATGACATGAGCGTAAACTTCACGTTAGTGGCAATCAGCGACTAGTGATCTGGTGAGCGGAACATTATATAGCCGGATAGCCCTCATAGGCAATGACTACTATAACTTCCACGGAACTAAAATAGTAAAAAAATAATGCTGGGGAGCTGATAGTAAGGAACACTATTTATTCTATAGTTTGCACTTTAGCGTTTTCTCAAATTGTCAATTATATAAGATATGTGTAGAGTCACATGTGCATATTATTCATAATGTCCTCAATTATTTTAAATCAACTGCTTTTTTCTTGTTACAGTACTGGATCAAGGTGACGGCAGGCCGGTGAAACTGAATACACCTGATCAAACACAGACAAAACAAACGGCCGTGCAATTCATTGCAGAAGATGAAGAGGTAATTTGAATGAAATCGGCCATATAATACAACTTGTTTAAAAAAACCATTTTATTAAGGATTTCTTGTATTTTATGGAATAAGGTTAAAAACGAGCACTCATCTCAATTGGCTAAGTGGATGCTGTAACCCATAAATATCTACATCTATCCTCAGTTAAGAATAATAAATGACAATATATTGTCTAAGATGGAATGCCTCGTTTCCAATAAAAAAGTTCTCGGGATCTCCGCATTCACCACACGAAACAGAGTAGTATAAAGTTGTATCATGTTGCACTAGTATTGCAGCATGGCTCTATCACGTAGGTATACTAACTATAATAAAACAACTACCTGTTAAAAATCACCTTATTTTAAAACTGTCTTAGTCGGCGCCTCTACACGTTGGCCAACACAGTGGCGAATGTAGTGACCAATCGCATTGGCCAACGTGTAGACGGGGTGTTTGGGCTTCATTGGTATGTATTGGGACGAGGGCCCACAAGTTGGCGCGAGATCCGTGTGGTGTCGGTTTTTTACAAAAGATCAAAGGATTGTTGGCAGAGTTTGGTCGCCGCGCCCACACGTTGGCCGCGCGTTTAGTTTGCTACAAGCTCCCAGAGTGATTACACGCATCTGATTTAAATTTTATATTCAAGCTTTGTAGGGTGGATGCCCCAATTACCAGTCTTTTAGTGCCAATTTCAACTTTAAACATTCCTACTACTTTAATTAGCGCGATTTAATTATTTTTAAACATTTGTTTTAATCGATTAACTATTTATCAAAAAAATAACGAACATTTATTTACAATCAGATTATTACGAGAACAATTTTAAATTGAAAAAAAAAAGAAGCACGTCGTTTATACGTGGTAGAACCATGCGGTTATATTAGAAGTATAGTTGTAGCACGAATGGGTCGGCTCAACCGGGGAAGGACCACGCTCTCACAGAATATCAGCGTAAAATAGTAGCTAAATGATGCTGTGTTTCGTATAGTGAGTGTAGAGAACCAGAGACCCTTTTTAAAGGAAACGAGGCATTTCATCTTAGTCCTCACGGGTGACAACGCATCTACATTTTGATTCGTAATCGAGGATAGATGTAGATGTCTGTGGGCCACAGTAACCACTTACCATCAGGTGAACTGTGTGCTCGTTTGTCACCCTATCCTATAAAAAAACGTCGATTTCTTATAATTTAATCGTGCAAGTTTTCGAATCATCATCATCATTACAGCTGTTCACAAGTCCACTACCAAGCATACTCCTCCACAGACTGCCGCAAAGCATGGTCCTGAGCCACTTTGCTCGTCATGAGTTTTTCATTTATGTTCTAAGTTATAATTAGTACCTATTATTAAGTCAGTGTTAATTATATTTATTGCTATTGTTTTTGTCTTTCTCAAAAAATAATTAAATTACTAAATAAATTATAAGGTGTTTTTTGTATACATCAAATGTCTGATAGAAATGCAAGTACATATTTTGCTGAACTTTAAAATCAAAACCCAATTTTAAAACATAGACTAATCGATTATAATAAGTTAAGTTCTTATTAATGATATTTATTCCAGTTTATGATGCATGTAAAGAATAAATAAAGCTAATCGTATATCGTATATCTCTTTACAGCCCCATTAATATCCACTATTATTTTATAATTCTTTTATAAAAACGTTAACCCCACACTAGGACTTTCTCCCGTATCGCGCAGGCAGTTTACTAACATAAATTGCACAAGGACACACATCCAGACCCGAAACAATTATTTGTAGGACATACAAATACTTGTTCCGTGCGGGATCAAACCCGCGGTGCCCGGCACAGCCACTCATTGCTGAGCCACTGCGCCACGGAGCCGTCGTCAATTCGTCCGCACATTGGCCCGAACCGAAGTAAACTGAACGACCTTCCAACGTGTGGACGCCGTCACCAACTCTCGGCCAATATATTCGCCAGTACATTCGCCACTGTGTTGGCCAACGTGTAGAGCCGACATTATGTTGGAGCCACTAATAGGCATTTGATCTATTCATTAGTTAACATCTCTTCTATTTTTATTTTCCATATCGACGCCTCAACATTTGTCTCATCTCTTCTATTTGTCATTTTGTGATATTTTACTGATAAATGTTGGACGTCAATGTATTTGCACTGTAAATAATACTTCCGGGTTATTCGTTTCGTATATTACTTTATCACAATCGTTATTGTCTCAAGATTAAAAACTAATGTTTGCTGACTAACGTCAGACTTTTATATTGTAATGGATTTTAATAAACTGTTTTCGTTTAAAAAATGTATTTTGTATAAAATTATTAATACTAAATTATTATTCAAATTTAAGCTTGTCTGCATTAGAATTTGGATTTTTGCATTATGATTTTAACAGAAAACACTTCTTAATACAAAGTGGATTCTATCGAATCTCCAGTCTGCCGCGAAGTTCCTAATACCCCGCCTGCCAATGACTTCTAGTCGTATTTTCATCCAAAATTAAACTGCGTCTAAAGGCGATTCAATGTCCAGTTTCAATTGAATAAGTTTCTAGTGCATTTCATAATGCTGTTTTATTCTAGATTAGATTTAAGAGCACTTAGAATAGAATATTTTTATTTATTTTGTCTCGTTTTCGCCTTCGAGTTTCCCACGACACGCATCTCATTTTGAAACGTTATAAAAAAATTGTTTCACGTGATTTTAACATTGAAGACATGACGATACTTCGTTTATTTTCAAAATGCTTTTGACATTAAACTTTTTAATAGAATATAAATTTGTTAAAATACACGTGCAAAAATGAAATTACATATATTCGCTAGTTTGAAGAGTGAACTTTGCAGCTATTATGCACGGCGATGTAAGAGAAGTCACAGCAACAGTCGCGTGCACAATCACTGCCAACATAAACAATCCACAAATTTACCCTTGACACAACTCTAACCTCTACACTAGGAAACACCACCGTCGATAATAATTTTACATGTTATATATATATATATGTTCCTCTATGTATTTCTTCAATAGCTCGTAAACATTCTCTGCTGAACATTGGCCTCTCGGTTGCATGGAGGACGTGCCATAGTCGTAACGCTGGACAGGCGTCACCGGCTTGGGTGTTTTATGGCTGGCCTAAACCATCTTGGTTATATCGGCATATATCGGTAGCCATAAGATCTTTCTGGTATTTTCCGTAGTCGCTTGTTACGACATCCGCAAGATGAAACAGAGTGATGAATTCTTACGCTGTCACCGTACGGTTATTTTATTTTCTTTTTTAACCTAATTAGCCATCTTATATAAGGCAAGGGATGCCTTGTAGATGATGAGTTTATATTAATTAAAAGTAAAGAATAACGTTTGAATTTTTTTAATATATAGTGAAGTGTTTAACAAGTTTATTAAAAATTAGCCGGGCTGCAGTGGTCTTTTAAACAATTGTTTTAAGTGGTTGGAGATGATCTAAATTAGGAGTTAAGAATTATGGTAATCTTTGTAATGGTGGGAAGCCCATCATTACATCAATATTCAGCAGTGAACAGCTACGGTCGCTAGGAACTGAATAACCGTACAATATTTTTTTTAATAAGCTGTTTTGATTAACGACATTTGAAAAGACTGTAGTATGCAGTATATATTAGTAATTAATTAAATGATACCTTCGTTAGAAAACGCTTTAATCATGCCATATCTTCTTTTAGCGTCGGAGGATACACCGGAGAAGACGAATCTAACGTCAACTTGCAATTTAAATGCCGTAAAACCATTTGCAAGTACTTTACAGGAGATGTGAACTCATAACGGAACACACAAACGTATTGTACATACATAAACCCGAAATCATAACCCGGCTGCCCCATACAGAGCGGAAAACCTGACTCATATCAGTTTACGAGTTCTCGGCTAGCTTCGTAATCGCACGGTAGCAGTTGTAAAGCATTTTGTGCTTTTCATTGCTGACAATATTAATATTATGTTTTCTTCTACATTTGTAAAGTGGCTCGATCTAGTCTGAATTTTCGTAAGATAAATTCTTTTAAAAAAGGTTTTTAATCTTGTCACTAGCTCAGACTGCGTGTTCTCAATATTGTGAACTCATTCTTTCCGAGACAAATTGACTTATTCAGCTTAAACTTATGTGTATATATAAATATAGTTGAATGGATATATTTTTTCCTTTTTTATTACAGTGCAACCTCGATATAACGAAACTGAAGTGAATTAGAAAATATTCGTTATACTATGTAATTCTTTATAACGAGGTTTGTTATACATATAGAGTTCAGGTGGGACTACGATTCGTATTAACTATGTCTTACAAAGTTTAACCTCTCTGAACCTGTCACGGCATAATTTGTTGTGCAATTAAGTGGGAATAATTAATAGGATATGTTATGTCAAGGTTCTAAGTTGATAAAATTCGTTAAATAGTGGTAAATATTACCTTTTATCTATATTTTGCATTAGCTCTTAAGGGCAGTTCTAGGCGATTTCGAAAAATCCGTTATATTGAGGAATTCGTAATAATTAGACCCGTTATTATCAAGGTTACAGTGTATTTTGAAATAACCTGTTCGAAGATGTACCGAGTTACTGCAACCACTTCTTATACATGTTAACTGAAATTAGTTCATTCTAATATATGCAAAGCTGAAACACAAAGTTTCGCCAGCATTATAATCTTCAACAGCCCGTAAGGATGTCCCCTTTTGGGCACGTGCACATTCTTCCACTGTAGGAATGTTTTGCCAAATTTTTGAAAGGTTTCATAAAACATTTATATTTACATTATATTTCAAATTTAGCTTAATTTTTACTTACTTATTGGACAGTATCTTGATTCTATTCATGGCAAATTAATAACAAACGAATATATTATAACTAGATCAATGGTATGGACTATTGTCTTTATTCTATTCAATACAGTGTAACCGTGTTATATGTATTGAATAATCTATATCGAATAAAAAAGACAAATTTTTTATTCGATATAGATTATGTATTAAATAATTAAA